TTTTTTTTGCAGTGGTGCATATCGATCACCCTCCAAGTACATCGGGCCACAGCGGCCGTCGTCACCGAAAAGCCGGGTCCGTACTTCGCCCACCCACAACTGAAAGGCGGCGATGGCAAAAAAAAAATCGAAACATCCCGTCAAATTCATGTGTAGTCACCTGTGTTGTCAGTGGAAAGGTTTTTAATAAAGCGAATTCACATTGTTTTAATTTGTTTTTATTAACAATTACATTATGTTTTGGGCGTCTTAAAATTGATACGCTGTCTGTGACGCTGCACTAATTTTCATTACCCACTGTAGTGTAATGTACGTGTATTTTTTGTTAATGACACAACTACTATTAGTTTAAAAGAATAAAATATAAAATTTTATCACAATAGCTAACATGGCGAGCACCGAGACGTCACATTTTTATGCCATCATCGCGAGCGCCACTACCAATGACTGTAAAAGATTAACAGTGCCAAACATGGCTGCAAGGTCACAGCTAATTTTAAAACATTTTGACAGTTCTGCAGAGTAATTTTATCAGCGTAAAAATTGAGTGAGCGCGATAAACGAGATGAAAAGAAAAATAAAAACAAACAAATTGATATTTCTAAATTATTGCAAAAAGGGGAGAACATTTATTATTACAATACATGAGACTAATTAGAAATACATAAATAATAACTAATATAATGTAAAATATGTAAAATCAGAAACTACCAAAACCCGATATCTTTTGTTTCGTTTTCGCGGCGATGATTAAACGACAAGGATAGCTATATATATTTCATTTCGTTGTTCTAGCTTTGTCAACTGAAATAAATATTGTCACGGGGAGGTTTATCACACATATATACTGCCATGCTACGGTCACTGATGTACGAAAGTAAGTTAAATGTATTTTTTATGTTATTAAACCGAAAAATTACAAAAACCGAAAAATCCTTGTTGCAGCCATTTCTCAAAATGCTGTTTTTTAAATTACAGAGCTGCGCTTCGAAATACTGTATGGAAATTAGCAGCGCCACTGCAGTGCTTCTGCAAGCTTCCAATTTGAAAGCGCCCTTACATGGTAGTTAAATGCCTATTGCCAAGTTTGCTTGGGATCATTGTCTACCAGAAGCGTAGAATTTTTTTTTAAATATTGACAACATACGTTGTTTAGAGCCCAAAGTAAGTAACTAAAGCACTTGTGTTAAAATCTGAAACAACGACGGTACCACAAACCGATATCCGAGACAATACAGAAAAGTAGTTTTCTACATAGTCCCGGCCGGGGATCAGACCCGGGACCTCAGAGGTGGCGACACAATGAGAACTGTTGTGCAAGTCACTCGACCACCGAGGTCGTCAATTTGAACAACCCACAGTTTCAATTCAGCTGCACATTTTCAGCGCTTATAATTTTCAGGCTAGACGCACGTAATTTTGTGAGTTACGCTGCATTCAGTTTCATTACATAAAACTCCGGTTTGTTCCACACGACGACTCAAAATGATTTCTTTTTTCTTCCTCCATTACACTATAAGACATAAACACCCCGTACAAACGCATAAAAGCAACATGGATAGGCGTGTCGTTTACTACCAGGTGCACGACTTGTTTGTCCCGTCACTTGGTTATTATAAAAAAAGAAAAAGAAACATATTTCATTCTTAAATTATTCGTTTTAGACTTTTTCTGGGTACAGTGTTTTATATACACAATGTTTGGGTCCAAAATACATTTATTCTTGAAAATACTGTGCTAATTCAGATATTTGAAACACATTGGCGAACACAGTACTAAACAGGTTACAAAATTGAAGTGGGAGTGGGCATGAAAGGCTCTTGGTGCAAGGCAATGGTAGAATGAAGTCCATGGGGCGAGAAACGCCTAAGAGGAAAACCACAGATGCGTTGGTACGATATCAAAGGACTGGCGGGAACAAAGTGATTAGAAATTGCTCAGAACAGGGAAAGATGCATAAACTGAAGGAAGTAGGGTTTCTTAACCTGTGGTTCATAGACCCTTACGGGGTCCGTGTAACGAACGCTGGGGGTCCATGGCGAGCCTACCTATGTAACAACAAATGCATTATATAAGAATTGGTATACAATATGTTGTGGTTCAATAGGTACTGTGCGCGTGATCATTTTGGAAAATTCCCACTCGAGTGACAATGCAACCCGCCAGCTATTCTTCAAATACATAATAACCTATAAATATAATTCAAATTTCCGAAATCTTAATTTTAAATGCTCCTTCAAATCCTTGCAGTTAGATACTCGTTCGATTGCGATTGAAATTTTCGATTTACTAATCGATTACAAAAGCTTTAATTGAATGAACCAAATGTTTTTTTCGCACAATACTACGCAACCATAGACAAGTCATAGAAGTATAGATGAAAAAAAAAATTCACTTTTGGATTAACATTTTTCAAATACGATTTTGCGATTCTATTCAAATGAATATTATTGGAAAAAGTAATGACACATGAAGTCCAAATCTTCGAAATATACGTGAAAGTGTTACTTATTCGATGTATTGACTGATTGCTTCAGAATTTTAACAACACAGGTTTGTTTATTTTTTGTTTAAAATTGATTGGAACAAACTATACCTAAACCATTTGATGTAGTAAAACAGTTTTTCCCGCTTGTCCTCCAATGACTCGCCTTAAAATCATCTCAATTGTGTCAATAGTGTCGATGACAGGCTTTAATTGCAATATTGCTGCTATTACAATAGTGTTATAATTCAAAATATATGAAATTGAAGATTATCCCATTATTGAACGTAAAATTTGATTCTCTACACGCCAATGAAAGTAGTAGTTAGAATATTGTAAAAAAACAAGTAAACTCTAAATCTACTTACTCTACGCAAAATCAAACAAAAAAAAAAAGAAAAAGAAATCTACTCAAAATCAGACACGCTTTATGTGAGCTAGTTCTGGCCAAAATAGTCCTTATTAAAAAATATGAAATTATTTATTCTCTTTTATTTTAAATTTATTTGGTAAGTAGGAAATTGTCTATATTAAATTTTTCGTCGATTCTGAGAATATACACTTTTTGAGTTAATACACAATAGTGTAAAATACAATAGTATTAACAGTGAGAATGATAGTTTAACTCAATGGAACTACAGTGACCAGAAAATTTTGCAGACTTAGGACCCAGGTTCCAAGATTTTATTATTTTTATTATTGTAATGTCATCTCGGACAAGTGGACGTAATATAAACATGACAGGATTTTTACACTAATGTGGTAAAACACCTGATGATCTTTAAACAGCTGTTAAAAAAATCCCTTGGATCGGACATCGGACAGTCCCCTGATGTTGATGACTGCACTTTAACGATAGTTAAGCCGCTATCGTATTGATGGTGACGTAATAGTCCAGCACTCTGTGTGACGTCATAGTTCAGGCGAGACCAGGGTCGGGAGGCGGGGGCGCCATACAGTTGCCATCGGGGTATCGCTTCTGGAACGCGGCTATTAGGTCCGGGTCTACGAGGCGCACGCCGTCCACTTGGTTCCCAAGGGTAATCCTGTAGATAAAGTAAATTAGGATGTTTTTAACATTATACTCCGTCCAACCATTTACTTTTGACAGTTCGAATTGTAATCAATTAGTGATGCCCTATTGCGTTTCCGATTCGATTTTTTATAACAATCGATTTTATTTACGAAGAAATTTTAATCGTAAATGTGAGCGGGTTCCAAAAAGAAGATATTGTGCGATTGAGATCGTGATATTGCGTTTAACAATTTGTGTACTCAAGAATTAATAATTCATGTTAATGAGAATTTAAATGATGATTCCCATTCATATGGAGCATAATCCGACGATTCATTGTAATAAGCAGTAAGAATTTATTACAATTATTTATAATTAAAAAATCGGAGCACGTCGCTTCACTAAAATTAAAAAATAAAATAGTCCAGGAAGTATTTAATTTTTTTTGTGGTTGTATGTCAATAATTACGGAACTTCGGAGGCATGTATATGTCGAAAGTTAAATAAATGGTAGGACGGAGTATAACCATAAATGGATAGATAGATAAACACTTTATTCACTAGTATGACACTAATACAGATTGAATACTACAGGAAAAATAAAACATTTTTTGTCATAGTAGTGAAATGGCGCTGACGCAACATATGCCTAAGTTCCCTAAAGCGCTGGTTTTCAGGCAGAACCAACGAGAGGTACTAAATCTAGAAGTTATTTGTAATGAAAGATCTAATAAACGGCTTGGAGAAAAGTCTGATGAGGTGTAAGTTCAGAACCCATCCGAAGATCAACTTTTATTTTAATTAAAAAAATGTTGTTTTACATTTAATGACGTTTTACAGTTAAACTGTTTTTCTTTCATCTTCCATTTTCCTCGCTATAGTCAGGTGAAAAGTTGTGTTTCGCTCGGCAGCAAAGTTGTTTTGCGTCTCGTGTCTTGAAGCCCTCGCTACGCTCAGGAAACTCAGGTTTCAATACAAGAACTCGCGTCAAATAAGAACTTTGCAGCTTTACATAACAAATAGCTATTTTCATTTTAATATCTGCGCTTCTAAAAATTGTATGAACATTAGCAGTGGCGCCACTGTACCGCTTCTATGAGCGTCCAATTTGAAGGCGCCTTCATTAGTACAAATTTAATTTATTTAAATAACCTTGTATGAATTGAAAAAATCTTACCAATTTGGTTGCACGTTATGTGGACGACCGAAGAGTTCTATTTTTCTTGTGCCCGGACTCAGCCGTTCTATTGGAAAAAAATAATACCCGTTGTCAATTTACTTTGTCGCGGAATGAAATGGAAGCGAGTACATAGCACAATGAGTTATTAGATAGAGTTCGTCCAGGGAAGTACTGCCACCCTACTTATTTCTGGCGCCAAGCCGTAATGTGACCATTACTGCGTTCCGGTTTTCAAAGTCAAATAATTTTTTCACTTCTCATGCTCTTAAAGTTCCTATTTATGCTGGGTGTAGGCTGCATAAAATAGGATTTTATGCTCTAGTGCATAAAATAAAATCGTCGTTTAAGACCGAAGCGATGACGCCTGCGCCAACATCCACGCACACTAGAATTTTACTTTTATTTTTTTAATCCGTGTTATATGTCTAATTGTTGTAATTTTACATTAAATTTTAATTAAGTAATCGTTTATTTGTAATATTGCTGTTTAATTTCGTCGCAATCGAAGTGAAAAGCAGAGTATATAACTCGTTCATGAAACCTATTTTACTTAAGTATCCACCCTCGCCTGCGACTCAGGTAGATATACTCGTCTCGGGTAAAATAACGCGTTTTATGCACTTGTTGTACAATCCACTATTATTTCATAGGTAAGCAAATTACACTTGAAATCGTCATACTGATTAAACTCTACTGCTCATTCGTGAGGCAGATTCCCTTGAGAAGAATGAGGAAGAATTCCAAGGGTTGCTTTTTGTAATTTCAATACATTTATCATTACAATATTCAATTTAAAGATAAAGTGAATGAATGAATGAAATGAATGTTGTATAATAATTTTGAAGGGTCAAGGGAGCTGGTGAAATTAAAGGCACATGGGGCTTGTCACCTTATGTCTCAGGGTGACGGGAGCAGTAGCAGTGCACCTCAGATCTTTGTGATTTAAAGCTGAGTGGCACTGCAACTGTTATGGACAGGCGTGTCGCTTACCATCATGCCCACGGCTTGTTCGTCCTGTCACTTGGTGTCATAAAAAAAGATAGTCAGAAAATGCTTCACATTCTTGCAATAAGAGCGAAAATGAAGTGCGTTTTGCTTCGGTGGTCCAAGATTTTACAGACTGGCTCTAACCTATTTAGAGTTTGCTAGTGTTGGGACTCTCTTAGGTATCGATTTGGTGCTGATGCTCGCTGACAAGTGGGCTCCAATCATTTCTTACCAATAATGCCATATATTTCGTCGGGCTTATGCGATGTGGCGCGGACCTCGGCCACGATGACGTCACAGTCCAGGCCTCGATTCAGGTTATCTGGATTACCTTTCATACCCACCTGAAAATTAAATTTTCGGTAATTTGATTGAAATGCATTATCACACCTGTCTGTCAATAGGGTTGGCAGAGCCTATGGATTTCCACTTGGCATGCACCTTTTAGTAACAGTAGAGCTCCTTGCGAAAGAGTTCGTCCAGGGAAGTACTGCCACTTTACCTATTTCTGTCGTCAAGTGGTAATGTGACCATTACAGCGTTCCGGTTTTGAAAAATGCTGGTGAAATTACAGGCAAATGGGACTTGTCAACTTATGTCTCAGGGTACGGGCGCAGTGGCAGTGTCCCTCAAATCTTTGCAATTTAAAGCTCTGAGTGGCACTGCAACTGTTATGGAGAGGCGTGTAGCTTTGTAGGCACGCGACTTGTCCGTACGGTCACGGGATATTGTAAAAAAAAACCTTTCAAAGTCAAAGTCGAAGATTATTTATTCCATAGGTAAAATAAATTTACACGTGAAAACGTCACATTTAAACCACTGCTCGTTCACTACGCTGACCTCCCTGAGAAGAAACAAGCAAGAAATTCTAGGGATTGCTCTTTTCAAATAAACTTAAATGCTATATAATACACTTTGAATCAAATTTGTGTGGATTCTGGAGCTATGTCGTCTTTCCATACATCTTTATCTAACACGTAGTCTTCAATTTTGTAATATGATTTTTCGATCAAAATATTTTTAATGTTGTTTTTAAATTTAGGAAATGATAAACTTAATATATGCTCCGGAATCTTATTGTAAAAACGTATACAGTTCCCCATAAAAGAGTTGTTTACCATGGTTAAACGAAATCGTGGTACCATGAGTTTGGATTTAGCTCTAAGGTTAATATTATGGATATCTTCTTTCTTATTGAAATTATGTATATTTTTACGGGCATATAAAATATTTGAGTAAATGTACCGCGATGCCACAGTCATGATACCAGTCTCCTTAAACTTTTCTCTGAGAGAAACCCGAGAGTCTAGACTGTACACAGAACGAATCGCTCGTTTTTGCAATACAAATATGGTTTGAATATCTGCCGCTTTGCCCCACATGAGAATCCCGTAGGACATTATACTATGGAAGTAACTAAAGTAAACTAGTCTAGCAGTACTAACATCGGTAAGCTCACGAATTCTGCGGACTGCGTATGCAGCGGAGCTTAATCTGCTGGCCAGGGAAGATATATGTGGAAACCATTGAAGTTTACTATCTAAGGTCACTCCCAAGAAGACTGCTTTATTAACAAAGACTAACTTTTCTCCGTTTATTTCTATGCTTGGACTAGTCGATTTTACGTTAGGTAATTCAAATTTAACACATTTTGTCTTCTTGGAATTAAGCAATAAATTGTTAGCATTAAACCAATAAACTACCTTAGAGAGGGTATCATTAATATGGTCGTAGTTAATGTCATGTCTGTCTGTTTTAAAAATCAAGGATGTGTCATCAGCAAACAACACTATTTCGCTATGGTCCTTAACAAAGAATGGCAGATCATTAATATAAATCAAAAATAAGAAAGGCCCAAGTATTGAGCCCTGCGGAACACCCATTTTTACCGGAGAACCCAAAGAAGTCACACAATTTATGTATACTTTCTTAATTGTACTGTTGATATGACGAGACAAGTTTCGACGCCTTGCCATTTACACCGTAATGTTCCAGTTTCCTAAAAAGAGTAATATGATTAACGCAATCAAATGCCTTTGAGAGGTCACAGAAAACACCAATAGCGTTCTGGGACCTTTCCCAAGCATCAAAGATGTGTTTTAGTAACGCTACCCCCGCATCGCTAGTCGATCTACCATAGACCATTAGACAAGTCGAAAACTCGTAAGCAAGAAGAAGAGACCTTAAGGCCCATTTAGATGGAGAGAGTTTCTCGCACGCTTCGTGACGAAAACTCGTAGGCGATTATCGTAAGCAATAATCGCCATAAGATTATCGTATCATAATGTTTACATTCAGGCAAGAACTAAAATCTCGCCTACGATTATGTCATACGAGATTCGCAAGCAACTTAATCGCCTCCTCGACTGTTTACACGGAGAAATATGTAGTAAGGAGATTCTTGCTTACGAGTTTTCGACTTGTCTAAACACGATCTCGTATGACATTTTTTCAAGTTCATACGATTATCGTACAAATCGGTTCGAACCGTTTTGAGTGCGAGAATTGCCATTCGAGTTCAGTGATTACTGCGGTATGACTATGGATATATCAAACTGATGCAAAAACCATTCAAATTCGAAACTGCTGATAATATTAAGTTCATTGCACTGTATAGAAATATAATTTTGATTTATCTTTTTTTTTTAATTTTATAACTACTGACACAAACAAAAACTGACAATTATGATAAATTTATAGGGCGAGTGAGTGCGTGAGTGAGTGCGTGAGTGACTGAGTGAGTGACTGAGTGAGTGCGTGCGTGCGTGCGTGCGTGCGCGCGGGCGTGCGTGCGTGAGTGAGTGAGTGAGTGGTGAGTGAGTGAGTGAGTGAGTATGTCAGTGAGTGGTGAGTGAGTGAGTGAGGAGTGAGTGAGTGAGTGTGTGAGTGGTGAGTGAGTGAGTGGTGAGTGAGTGAGTGAGTGAGTGGTGAGTAAGTGGGTGAGTGAGTGAGTGACAGAGTGACTGAGTGAGTGAGTGAGTGAGTGAGTAGGGAGTGAGTGGGGAGTGAGTGAGTGGGGAGTTAGTGAGGAGTGTTTATTGAAAAGTACATTTACTTGAAAAGTCGTGTCGGCCATCTTGGATTTAGAAATAAATGCTATGTTCGTAATGAGCACCCCCAAATACCTCAAAAATATAAAAATACTTATTATAAAATACTTTTCAAATAATGGCAAGTTGGGTATCGACCCAACTTGCCATTATTTGAAAAGTGCGGGCACGACTTTTGATCCTGGATTTAGAAAGGAGTGCCATATTCGTTACGAGAGCACCCTAAATACTATATTGCCCACGCTATATTCGACCACAGAGGCACTCACTCACTCACTCACCGTTATTTGAAATTTTTTTTTTCGCCCTCGTTCCATTAATTCTTGTCTTAGAAAAGCAGTGATAATCAAAACACCCTCGCGCACTGCACTCGTGGTAGAAACGGCTGGCACAGAAACTCGAAATACGATTTTTGCTTTCGAGTTCTGTTTACACGGAGACGTTCAATATTGAAAGGCGAGGAGATTATCGCTCACGTGGACGGTCGATAATCGCGAATGTTTAGACGAGGAAAGTTTATTTATATTCTTTCGATAATCGCATCTTCGAGACGAGAAACTCTCTCCATCTAAATGGGCCTTTACGCTCTTTAAATTTTAAGTTTCGTTTAATAATAATAATAATAAATTTCGCAACTTCAATCGTATTAGTCTTCACGCACACTCTTTTATTCTAAGTACCAAACTTAGTTTGGATTCTTTTTATTCTACTACTATCTACGATCCGCCTCATAGAGTGTTTGAGCTTCGTAAAAGGCTCTCAACACGATCGATACATACACGGACCATCTCGTGGTACACACGTTTTGAAATAAAATGTCGCTTTTGATGTGAAAATGTCGCTTAGTCTAATAACAAAGTCGCTAAGATGGCAACACTCGACGACCACAGTCCGATAAAAGGAAAACTTTTATTGTGTATTAGAGTGGTTATATAGACGGCGACTTTTTGCAGTAGCGATGGAGTCGCTAATCGTCTACCTTTACACACGCGCGCGATTTTAAGCAGCAATAAAAACGCGATGCAAGCGCGCGACTTAATCGATACAAACGCGCGATTGCATCGCTACATTTGGGATATAAAGGCGATTGTATCGATGCAGTCGCGCGTTTGCGTCGATGCAATCGCTTATAAATCGCGCGTTTCACGAACGAGCGTTTGCATCGCCGTTAAATTTAGCAATGTATGGATTTTCCAAATAGCGGGTTTTTTGTTTTTTATCAAATGGCTTACTATTCTTCTATAGATAATACAACTCGAACTAAAGTATCGTAAAAAGCAAAGACGCATAGAGCCATGATGGATTTTAAAAAATTAAAAAAGAAATTCTAAAAAAATGTGGCTGAATTGCAATTGAATTTCTGTTTAGATAACATTTTAAGCGAATATTTTAATTTTGAACTTAAGTAACCTCCTTACTTGAACTTGAACTTGACCTATGTAAGGGTACTTCCTTACATAGGTCAAGCAAGTAGCACGACATACTTGTCGTGCTACAAAATAAAAAAAAATCTCCTTTCCGATCATGGCTGTAATAGAAAGAAAAAAGGCCCGAGGGTTTTTTTTTTGAGGGAGTTAGCCAACGTGCAATTATACTAATTACGAGCCAGTGTGATGAAAAATATATTAAAAGAACAAAAGAGAAGAACAAAGATAGTAAATGGCTTTTTTGTATGTTTATGTTGCATTTTTGTTTGTGCGGTTACGGGTGTACCATCGAGTATAAAACCAGAAATAGAGATGAAATAAGGCCATCCATCCCTGGCAACTCATCAGGCAAATGGGCTTTATATCACATTTAAATATCAACTCTCGTTTGCGCTGAAATTACAAATTAGAAAACTGAAATAGTACAGCGCTAGCACCTGACCTGTGTACGTCTCCATATATTCCAAAAATACTCTGTATTTATTGTAATAAAGATAATATCTCTAACAATGGGGGCTGTTCCAATCGGTGGTGTGGGAAAGACAGCAAGACAACTAACTACAAAACAAATGGGATCACATTTCATCTGTAATGAAATACTAAATATATTTGGCAATTTTCGTCCATTATAGCAAAGCTCACGTTAAACTGGTCGATTTGAAGTGATACAATTGACGACACTCGTCAATTGTTTCGAATTCGGGTTGGCTAATCGGGGCGCAGTTGTCACAGTAAGGATTTGGCAGAATAGTTTTCAAACAAATTAAACGACATTGCGTCTCTATTTCTGGTTATATACTCGATGAGGCGTACTGACCAGACAGTGTTCCTTTCCGTGATTTAGCCAGTGCCCCGTCCGGCCCGTACGTATAATGCGCTGGAGTTGATTTGTCTTCACCCAGATGAGCTCGTCTACGCGCTCGTAGCCCCAAAGTTTTAGGCATTCACGACCTAGCTCCATTGCTCTGAAATAAAAACAAGAGGACATAGCAAAAAGGATATTTACACTGACTTACTCAGTAGGTCATGAAGATAAGTTATATCTTGTTAATATAGTTATTTTATTAGTAGAGTTCTTTTTTGGGTATACGTTTTTTCAAACAAATATACGCCTAAATTCTTATGATGTATATTAAAAATCGTTTAAACATTATACTTAAGCATACTTCGTTTCAATCCATTTTAATCGCAACAAGTAACCCGACCATAGACGGTTTAGTGATGGTCAATTATACTGCCAAGTACAAATCAATTAATGAGGATAAATCGATTTGTTTAATTGAGTCATAATAGCGATTTTCATTACATATATTACCTATAACGGCAGTTTTAAAATTTCCGAAATCTTAATTTAAAATCCTGCTCCAAATTCTTACACTTAGGTACTCGTTCGATTGCGATTAAAATGTTCTATTTACTAATCGATTACAAAAAATTTCATGAACTGAATGTTTTTTCCGTCCAGCACTATGCAACCATAGACTTTTCATACATCTTTAATTAAAAAAATAAACTCACTTTTTGACTACCATTTTTCAAATACGTTTTTACGATGTTATTTCCATGAATATAGTTGGAAAAAGTCATCACATTTATCTCATCGATATCAAATCAAATCTTCGAAATATACGTGAAAGTGTTACTTATTCGATTTATTGAGTGATTATTTTAGAAATTCAACCAAACCGTTTTGTTTACAATTCGTTTAAAATGTATTGGAACAGACTATAGAAACAATATTCCAAAAACCATTTCTCTAAAGTTCAAGACATTTGATCTGTCGGTATTCATGATGTTCTTGAAATTGAGCATTTTACCTAGTGAAAGAGATCGAGACGAGAAGAGATCGTCCAGGGCAAGCAGTAATGTAACATTATTAGTAACATTGCTGTGTTTCAGTTTTGAAGGGTAAGGGTGCTGGTGAACTTACAGGCACATGGGACTTGTCGACTTATGTTTCAGGGTGACAGGTGAAGTGGCAGTGTTCCTTGATCTTTGCGATTTCAAGCTCTGAATGGTACTGCAACTGATATGGACAGGCATGTCTCTTAACACTAGGCGCACCACTTATTCCTGTCACTTGGTATTATTATAAAAAAAACAAAATCTGTACCCTTGGTATAATAAAGTCGTATAACTCGCACGTGAACCAAATACTAATCTTGTTATAAGATCCAACACCAAGAAATTTTTTTTCGATACGGTTGGATTCGAACCAGCGCTTTCAAGCATACCATGCCAGCTCTCCCAACTGAGCTACGGTAACCACCAGACTTCACGAATTTTTTGATGCGCTTGCTGCAAAATCTTTGTTGAATCTATGACAAATTTATTCTTTCACTCAGCCAGTTGCTTTTACTATCTACCAGTGGCTGACCAGCAGTAAAAAAGTCCCTTTTTTTTTCCAGTTATTTTTATTTTAATTTTTTGTTTTAATGTAGCTTCATCTTTTTTTGTCTTCATTTTATTACTGTGTATATTTTTGTTGTGGCGTAGTAATAAACGACTTCTATTCTATTCTATTCTATTTATTAAAACTTAAAAAGAAACTAAATACTATACGTAATTTAAAATTGGAAAACAGGATCTGTAAATAAAAAAAATACTGAATGGATCATGTTGCGAATAATATACATACATTGTCATTATATTTATTTCCTTACAAATATGATGAAAAACGTTATATGTAGCACGAGTGGCAAAAAATTCCAAACTCGAGTCATTGATTCTAATAAAACTCTAGTTGGTAATTTTTTATTTACCGCCCATAAAATACACAACTATACTAAACTATACTATATTACCTGCCAGTGACCCATAAAAAGATAAGCCCGCTATCCTGCAGCTGCGGCACGCCGAGGCATCTCATTTCGTCGTCAGACATCGTCCCGTACGGGAGCTCCATGTGGATGTCCCAAGGTGGATCCGCCATTATTACTGCGAATTTACCTACGGACAGGTAAACGGAATTGGAATATATTTATGGAATCCTAAGTCTGTATTTTTTGAAGACAGAATAAAATGACAGTTAATAGCGCACAAGTGTTGCCCGCTTGCGAGCAGCTAGTGATTGAAGTCGATAAATATTCGATATCGAAATATCGACGATCGACTGAGTATTAGTTGCATTTATGGAATAAACAGCCGCAACTTGTTTCATTTGAATCATCCTCGACCCACCTGAGCACAAGTTCATTTGAAATGTCAATTTTTGTAAGTTCATACATACACACAC